TGGAAAAGGCATCCTTGCGTATCATAACAATGTACTTAATTTGTTTAAATAATACCCAGGGGCAGAGAAGAAGATTTTCAAAGAAGTAATTCACCTTCACTATAGGATCTATATAGCCCCACCCTAACACCAGAACCCCTGATCCTTGGGTCATGAATTTCACAATTTTGGAAGAGGCATTCTTGCTTATCAGAACTATGTATTTAATTTGTTTAAATAATACCCAGGAGTAGAGAAGGTTTTCAAAGAAATAATGCACTTTCACTATATGATCTATATAGTCCCGCCCTAGCACCAAAACCCCTGACCCTGGGGCCATGAATTTCAAAAGTTTGGTAGAGGGCTCAATGCTTATTACAATCATGCCAACAGTTTGACTGCTTGATGTCCAGGAGTAAAAAAGAAAATTTTTTAAGACAGCACTAATTTTGATGGTTTTAGCCCCATCCCTCAGGCCCCAGGGGGGCAGGGACCATGAAATTCACAATTTTGTACCCCTTTACCCATTGATGCTATATGCAAAAATTGGTTGAAATTGGTTCAGTGGTTCAAGAGAAGAAGCTGAAAATGTTCAAAAGTTTACGACCGACGGACGACGCCAACGGCAATAGATCACCTGAGTGACTCAGGTGACCTAAAAAGATAACAGTAATTATCATGGATTAATAAGCCAATTAACAATTTATCCATGAACATGCTATCCTTATTGAAGAAATGCCAATGAAGAAAAGCTTTGATGTAATTTCTTATTGATGTCGTGGAGTGGTTGAAAGATGAAATATTCACATCGAACGACAGTTTTATAAGTTTCCAACAACAATTTGTTTGATTTTGACAATTTTTTTAATAATAGTGTGTGTAGTTAAATGAGGGCAATGCACATCTACTATATGTCGAATGGTTTTTCACATTGCTTTCATCAAATAATGGAGAATGGAATATTTTTATTGATATTTAACAACGCAAGAGCTATAAAAGACAAGTCTGGGCTTATATATTGATCAACAAAAAAGCATACATATATGTATATGTAATTTCAACAAATTTTATGTACAAATATGTTTGCAAGTTACATAGCAATAGGAAAACGTTTTAAAACATATTAAGGTATATCATATGTCAGCATTTGACAAAACATTAAGTCAGAACCCATTTCATAAATATCAAAATTAATTTAATCTTTATAAAATATTTGAGCTAAAAATAAAAAAAGTGATATTTCTTTTAAAAAATCTGCTGGAAAATTGACAATAAGTTTCACTGGAGATTAGAGGGATATTTAGAAATTATTCTACAAATCCATGCATTTGTTTTAATCACTATCTTGAAACGTGGGCCCTTCAAATCTTCACTTAGAGATATATTTTTATATTTAAATTAGGAATATTTATTATAAGTTTTAAGTAATATTTTTAGAACATATTTCAACTATTTATTTTGTGTTAAACCTGAAAATTAAATATTTCTCTCTTTTTTTTTTTTAAATAACTGGGCTCAACACTTTATTTCCTCTTTTGAATATTTGTGCTAATGTTAACCGATCAGACCTCTTGGTTGAAACGTTTGATTGAAGAAAATCAGATTCTGTCTATTTAGATTGTTAATACACCAGATACAATATTTCATTAGTGCATGAAGGTCCAGGAATAATTAACGCACATTAATTTGCAAATTCAAAGTGAATAAAATAATATATATATATATATATATATATATATATATATATATATATATATATATATATATATATATATATATATATATATATATATATATTCAAATCCCTTTGCATTCTATAAGATTATTTTTAATGCCATCGTTACCTCAGGAAAAATATGAAAGAAGTTAAATTGATTAAATTATAATTAAATCTGAAGTGACAAAATGTCAAGTTCAATTACCGTTGCTAAGTGAGAAAATGCTGACCCATGTTTTCTTCGCAATTTTGAGTTATGTATCATGAGTAGATACTTGATATCCCTGACATAACCCAATGCATTAATACAAACAGAACTCATAAAACTTACAATAGCTTTTTTGGTATCTTTGAATTAAAATGTCAAGATTTTAGGGTCAAATGATTTATATATCTATTTTAATTTTATAAATTTCAATGAATGTCCTTTGATGCACGATCTGCTCCTTAGTCAATTGATATATTTCAGCTCTGATGAGCTAAAAAAACAATCAAAAGATGAACTGAGCATAATGCAATGTGCTAATGATTCATTTGTATTACTTGATAACCGATGGGGGCAAAATAAAACATTAAAAAATAAAAAAAAAAATTATATGTCACTACGAATTTGAAACCTTTGCATATTCAAAAAGGCCGAGGCTATCCGCACGACGGTCGTGCTAATTAACGGTGTTATCCGCACGATGGTCGTGCCGATTACTGTTGTTATCCGCACGACGGTCGTGCCGATTACGGAGGCTATCCGCGCGACAAACTTTGAAACAATTTTATAATTCCTTTTCTTTATAACTTTATACCATTTATATTTGCATATACTTTATTTATAATTTTTTTGTTTATAACTTTATAACTTTATTTGCATATACTTTATTTATATAAATAAATTTTTACTCGGTGTTTTGCTATTGTGTGTAGAAACTCAAAGCGAATTTAACATATTAGACGGACACAAAAAGTGAACTTATCCCTAACTCTTCAGAAATCCCTAGTTCATTCAAGTGCTAGAGTGTTTGCCGCGGCATAATTAAGATTATGAATTTTCAAAAGGAAAACAACGGCCTTTTTTCGAAATACGACATTCAAATTTCAGTTTTATATATTAAAAAAAAAGCTTCTGGACAGTCCGACACTGATGGTTAATTTGCCCCATTTTGCGCAAGTGGTGCCTTTTAAAAAAATACAGGGTTTTCTTCCTTTAAAATCCTCTGGAATGTGTTTGGGGTGGAATGGGTTGATTTTAGATAGGAAAAAAAAATGTCTAGAATTTTTTTTTAAATTACAGTCTTGGAATCTTTTCTTTCAGGAAGGGTATAAAAAAAAGACTTTTTTATCTGCTTCTCAAATTTTAAGGGAATTTGAAATACGTGCAGTGTAGGGGTTATTTGAAGTGTCACAGCATGGCTTGTACACTACGAATTTTCCTGATTTTCCAGGTGAGTTGAGGCAGTGAAATTCTTTAATTTTTTTGTTATAAAGGAGTACACTATAGCAAAATAATTGGTAGTCTGCGTCCTATGATACACATGTGCGGATCTAGAGCCCCCCCCCCCCCCCCCCCCTGGAATTTGCAGAGTTATAAAATGTATATACTAAACCAACTAAAAGTGACCATGGACCCCCTAGTTGGTCTGAAAAGACATAGGTATGAAGCTTTAGACGTCAATGACTACCCCCCTCCCCCCCCCCCGAAATAGGTTTTTCACGTTTGGGAAAGGAGTTTACGTTTTTTTTTTTAATTTTCTCTTGTCAAGAAATTTCTGGGTTTGAATTTTTTTTTGACTGGGGTGGAACCCCTCCCCCCCCCCCCCCCTTGGAAAAAAATGATCCGCGCCTGATACATGTACATGTACACGTGAATTATTATATCGGAATCAAGATCACGGTCTCGGTATTGCAATAAAGTAGACTAGATGTGAATATATCCCGTGCTTTTTTTAAATATTTATATTTACTACTCTGAAATTAAAACCAATCTTTTCTTTTATGTACATGGATTATATCGTATCATATTAATTTTAAAGAATTTTTGAATGAATTTAAATGTTCCTGTATATTTGAAAAACTCCAAACAAGTTTGATCAACGTACTTAAATAAGAAAACGTTTAGATGAAACTATATATGTTCACTATCAAAGTATATAATAATGCATATATCTTTAAAAAAAACCCTCTATGAATATATTAGAAATTAATTGATCTACTGTTTAACATAAAATTTATTTTAAAATAAAATAAATAGGGGAAATACTACAGAATATTTTAATCATTTTATAATAGCTATGTGAAGTAATGTAAACGTTATTTTTTCCACGGGTCACAATTCCATGGAATCGCAAACTCTGTTCAATTCGCGGATATAAAATTATCTGAATTTTTGATTGCCTTTGCACTCTTAAAGATTTTTAAATTTGTACGCTGTGATAAATTTTCACATATAGCGTTATTAATTAATCCCCTTAAAAAAAATACGTCTACAGTATACTGGAAGGTTGAAGGTTGTATGGAAGGAGAGAGGGAGAGAGAGAGATTATTAAGACCATCCAGAAAAATGGAAAATTATGGAAAGAGAATATAAACACCATAAAAACGAAAGAAAATTATTGAAAATAGATAGCTATATTTTTTTTTATATTTCCAATCAACGTCTGAAGTACGTTACATGTACTCAAGAGATGATATAAAGGACGAATAAAAAAATAAGTCTTATTATACTGTGTCACGACGATTCACGAAGAAAATTCACCGTAAGCAAATTTTACTTAACCGAATGTTATAATTAGTTCTACATGTGTGTATTAGGTGCATCTCTTTTACTTTGTATTAAACTTTTGGTGAAAAGTGTATATAATGTACTATACAGTTATCTCTCTTGTATCGTGCGGATAAGAACTGTAATTAGCACGACCGTCGTGCGAATAACGAAAATAATCGGCACGACCGTCGTGCCGATAGACACTTCCATTCAAAAAAGAAGAGAAAAGGGAAAAAAAACACTTTCATATTAATTTGATTAAAATTTACAGAAAATAAAATAATTACCTGGTCTCTGACGTAAATAACATGAACATATTTACAAACCACACTTCATTTAGTTAGAAATATGAACACAAAAGAATGAGTAAAAGTAAAGAGACAATATTGAAAATACTAAATAAATACAGATTTGAAAACGAAATAACTTTTTCGAGAGCCTTTATGATTTACACAAGACAGTACATACATTTTATGTTAACTTTATAGATTATAATTAGGAGATTAAATAAGAAAGAGTGAGTTTGCCTTTTTACAACTCTATATGCACACTTTATTGATTGACACTGAATAGTTTATCGAGGTGCTGCTGGTTGTATATACTACTCAGATTATTAGTAGGTGGATCCCTTCTCATGGAAGTAGCAGAAGGTGGCCTGGAATACATTTCTTCCTTGGATTCAAACTGAAATAGGTTATCGGATTGGAAGTTCATTCGTGATGCCACACCCTTGTTGTCTGGGTAGATGTTAACCTCATCATCAGTTTGGAGATTAGACGTTGACACATGGCCATCTCCCCTGTAATAAGTTGAATTTAAGCCTTGATCTATAATAATGCCTTAAACCTTGTATATTAAGTTTTTTCTCCGGTAAATTTTCTTTTTGCTCAATGAATAAAATAATTTCACCCCCCCCCCCCCAAAAAAAAAAAAAAAAAAAAAAATTGAAATCTGATTATTTTGATTTTATTACCTTGTATTTTTCTGACATTTGGATTTCACCATATATCCTGCGATGGCTATTATTTTATTGCAACGATTCCAACTGCTGCTATCAATACAATGGTTTCATCCGAAAATTCTTTATCCTGACTTATATTTTGGTTTTCTTTACTTCCTGGAGGATTAATGGGCGTATCCCTTGTATTTGAAGGATTTACGAAATTGTCAGTAGTAATGGCTGCAGGTGTTGTTGGTGATGTAGAAGGGGATGTTGTGGGATTTGTCACTATAGAAGGGGATGTTGTGGGATTTGTCACTGTAGAAGGGGATGTTGTGGGATTTGTCACTGTAGAAGGGGATGTTGTGGGATTTGTCACTGTAGAAGGGGATGTTGTGGGATCTGTTACTGTAGAAGGGGATGTTGTGGGATTTGTCACTGAAGTGGACGATTTCGTTTCTCTAGTGGTTGATGTTGCCGTTGATGATGTCTGTACTTCGTTTGTTGTGTTACGATCTCTCTCGGTTGTCATTATGGAACCCATGGTGTTTTCGGAAGATAATGTTACGAAAGACTGAGATGTTCCATGTTGGATTGGCGTAGTTAAAGGGATTGGTTGTATCGTCGATGTAGAAGTCATGATCGTATTCGAATCTGTGGTCTGTTTAGCTGTTGATGTGGACGAAATGCTAAAAGTTGATGTAAAAATTGTTTGTTCTGTTGAAGAAATTGTTGTTGCAGATGTTCTGACTATTGCTGTTGATGTTGAAACATTTCGTTCGCAATCTGCAAAGATGAATTTTTAAAGTGCATTTATTCTTGATGCAACTGATACTACACTTTTTAGATATAAGATATGTTTATATTAGAACATAAAAATTTACACTATGTACAATATGAAATGATTTTATGTCCGGAAGTAAAATTAGATATACCCAATGTCCAACCAAATTTGTCTTCTGATGGGTCACATTGTAAACATGAATCATTGCTTTGGAATTCTCCTCTCTGAATACAGCTTCCATTGATGAAACAATATCCATCCTAAATTAGACACAATAAACATATAAATATAAATTAAATCACATGAAAGGAAGAAAACTGTACAGCGTTTGTACTGACCTGCAAAGTGAAGTTGACACTTCCAGTATCGTTGTTGAATATCTGACACTTGGACTGATAAACATAAACCTCAAACGAATTGGAGAATTGATTTCCATCATTTGATATGTTGAATGTAAAAAATGTGACCCAAGAAGGTGTAGTTGCATACTCAAGCTTACAATATCCCTCATACAAAGTTCTTTCCTCAAGGTTAACAGTGTACTTCTCCTGAGCTGAAACAGTATTTGTTTCGGACAGCTAAAATACAAACATGCAGGGTTTAAAGATAAAACATTTAAAAGCTAATTATTGATTAACTTCAGACCCGAGAGAGAGAGAGAGAGAGAGAGAGAGAGAGAGAGAGAGAGATGATTATGCGAATTTCACGATTTAATTTAACCTCTCGTCTGCTCATGTAACAAGTGGTCCTCATGTTTTCAAGAAAATATTGGCCGTACAACGTGATATCCTCACAGGATTCCTCTGATTTATCGCATAAACCGTCGTCAGAAATTCTAGTTATTGTTGGTGGTGACAAGGTATCAAACGAACAGTCACTGCCGCCAAAACCATAATCACAGGTACAGTTTCCTGTAAACAATTGTAAGTTTTCATAGGATTTTAGTACTTTATATATTGCCAATATTGATATGTTCTACTTTATTTTTATGCTCGTGTGTATAGGAGTCCATTTACCTCTTGAACAAATGCCTCTATTGCTGCAATTGTTCTGGCATAAATTTACAATATTTATGGTCACCTCAGGTTGCTCTTTCTCCAGCGTTGAGTTTAACAAGATATAAGCCTGACATTGTCCAAGAGCTGTGTCCACATGTAACGTGGTCAGATTCTCGTTCCCAGTCATCTTTATAAATAAATACGTATCAGTTCTATCACAGCACATTTTTTAATCATTGAAATAATTAGGGAATGATTTTTGAACTGTCATTAATGAAATAATGCGCATGAAAACTTACAGATAAATCATTTATGCAGTTCACCAAGCTCTCATTGCTGAAATTGGGAACAACTTGAAGACATGCGTCATAGTGCGAAGACTTTTGGAAGGCTTCTTGACAGATATCAATTGCTTCATTTTCACTAATTACTTGTCTTTTTTCTCTCTGGAAAACATGAAAGACATCCATTTAAGCGTATGTTTCATAATCATAAAATATAATATTTTTTAAACCGAAAACTTTCATCAAAATAAAGAATCAATCAAATAAGCAGCTTATGATTATAGATAATTACTTGTAGGATATTTTTAGACTGTTGTATATTTCGTGTATATTTCGAAAGAAAGGAGATATCTCTTTTTCGTCGTGGACTGCTGTGTAGAACACAGTGGTATTCCTTTCCTCTAATTCCTGTCTTGCATTCCGAGTACTGTCTGTAACTACAATACGTATTGCCTCTGTCACATGTACAGAGTTTGTGGAAGTAAGTAGAAAGCGGAGCAAGGTTGTCGAAAACACTCTCTCTATTGGACAGGATGTCTTCCGTGCTTCCATCTGGTAGTCTTGAATGCAAAATAATTAGATTATTACAAGAAATAGATTTTTTTTTAAATGTAGCAATAAGCTAGTTTTATCAGAATGAAAAAGCTAAGGCTGAATGAAATTTAGGTTAAAAACATCGCAAAGACTTGATGTCCAACACTATGGAAAATAAATCTTATTGTAACCTCCACGAATTAGAGAAATCATCAGGTGGTGACCAATAGCTGTACGAGTTAACATTATCCTGGACCCCATTTCGTCGCTTAAGATCATTAGTGTAGTCATTGTCCAACATCCCACACAGCCCAGAAGTACTTCCTACGTCAGCGATTGTTGGATATATTTCTACGTTTATGTACCAGAATGAACTTCCATAGTTGTAAAGCCAAATCCTAGCACTCGTTCCCGTTGGAAATATGATCTGAAACAAAATAATATATGTTTTCTGATACGTTTATTCTTTATTCCATTTGAGATGATAAGTAAAGATAGAGTAAAATAAAAAAAAAATTACTAATTTTAATTACACTGTTTTATTTTTAAATATATCATGAGTAAACAAACCTTATAACTCTTATCTGTTTCCTTGATAACCTTTAAAGAGTTGTCATTACAGATAGGAAAATTGATGTATTGTCTCTTGTAACATGCATCTATTGTAAAAACATCCTGTCCTGATCGAGCTGCAACAGCACACACGCATCTTGGTCTACCCCAGCAATTCTCATGACGCACCTGAACCTAAAATGGCATACCGAGAAGTGATTATTATAAAAGAATTAAACTGTTCAATGTAAATATCAATATCTTGTTTATCTGAACCAACAAATTATTCTGACTAACAAAAAGAAAGAAAATAAGTTTACTAGATGGATTGGTGGATGGACAGAACGACAGACAGAAAGTTAGACAGACAGACAGATAATATCAATAATTCTAAGCATATGACAATTATTGTAACTTTTCTCTAGTTTAAAAGAAACTGGCCTTTTTCTTAAATAAAATATGAAGGGTATTTATCTTTTTAAGTACTCTTAATATCACTCACTTCTTGCAGATGGTTTTCATTTCTATAAAATATATACGTCTTTCCAGTTATACATCCTGTATCCTGGCACTCATAGGCACTAAAATCGTATTACAAGATTGTATCAGATACAAAATGAATTAAATGAATAAAATGTCTCTCTTAGATATATAGAGAACACTTAAGTATATTACAAGTAATATATCTAAAACAAGTGTTTGCTGATATCGTTTAACATTTAAGGCTTACTATCCGTCAAAGGTTGTTTGATGTGGATCAGCATAAGAACTGCAACGCTTTCCTTTCCATTCGTTCTTTGATTCTATTATGTTGACCTAATAATGCCAAAAAAAAAAACCCTTAAGGTCAGGATCTAGTAAATGACCTTAGACTAACTTTTTGGTGCTAGATCCACTATGACGTCATAATCAATTTTAACTTTCTTTTTCCCGTACTTCACGGTTCTAATAGAATTGTGTAGAAAATAAAGTATTTTCATGGAATTCAATTTGAAATCATGTGAAAAGTAATCCCGATACCTATATTCAATTTCATATTATTTTAAAGAAGAGGCCAAGAACATACAAATTATCTTTTTCTGAGAGACTGTAGGCAATCTGGACACATTTCCTTTGTCTGATAAAAAAACTCCCGTATTCATGACTGGTTTTCTTAATTTTTCATTGAAAATGACAGTTTGATTTTTCGTCTTGTCCATCTACAAATTATGCCCGGAAACACCTTATTTGACCAAGCTAAAGTTATAAAGCATCATTAAAGGAATTTATTTCGCAAATTTGAGAAATCTGTAGGCACCTTTCATTTACTAGATCTTGACCTTAATAAGCATAACCGTATGATCAAGTTTGACTGCTTGAGAGATAAATTCTTTCATAAAAGTAAAAGAAACTATATATATATATATATATATATATATATATATATATATATATATATATATATATATATATATATATATATATATATATATATATATATATATATATATATATATGGAAAGCGTACGTGAACATCTGGGAAGACAATGTCAGAAAATATCTTAGCACCGTTCCCTGCAGGACTGTTTGTTTCCAGTCGCAAGACAAGTCGATGGTCATTTAAATAATAATTCTCCTCGTCAGAATTAAAAACATCTATGGTGTATACTTTTTTCCAGTTTGTAGAATCTTCATATTTGTCCTTTTCATTAAAAGTGTAAGCATCTATTGTCTTTGAGCAATCAACCAGATCACCTCTAGCTTTACATTTAGCCTCGGAGTTTCCTGGAAATGACATCCTTATTACTAATTTTGAGGTACTCTGCACACCGTCTGGAGTTTGAATTGTTTGAGAAGCAAATGGAATAGTCGGACGAAGCATTACGGTGGCTTTACCCTGTCTTTCAATTGTAAGAGTGTGAGTTAAAATCTGAAACGAAAGTGTTTAATCGGTGTCATTTAGAAAATATCGAAAAGTGTAAAGGAATATCTAAACTATTTCCACAGTAAAAAAAAAACCCCTAAAATGTACCTCTATTCCAGCATAAAATAAGCCACTAGATGTTGAGGAACATGGTTGTTTGTTTTCTGTTTTTATAGCTCCGACAACACAGTGTATCTGCAGCAAAAAAAAAAAAAAAAAGAACGTAAATATAATCATTTTAAAAAATACAGCTACCTCTGAATTCAAAAGTGACCTACCCAGACTCCAATCTTTATGGTAGCACTGTTCAGGTGTTCTGCTGATAGGATTGCATTCTCTACAGATGCCTTATCCACAATTTGACCAGTGAGAATAGTTTCGTTGTCAGCGTACCAGTTTATATAGTAGAACATCTCTTCATCAGCAGGGGTAAATGAACACTTCAAATTTACAAAAGGGTCGTATCGCTTTAAACCTGGTATCGTTTCGTGGTCTTCCTCCTTCCATGAGATATTGTGATAAGAAACCTGAACGTTTCCCACAGAAACATTAACACCTACATAAAGAAACTTGTCTCTTTTACTTATATCAATGAAATCAGGGAATTCTACAAATTCACTACAATTAAGGAATTTCAAAGCAAAATCATAAATAAATAAACATTAAGATAATTCGTCTTAAATTTGCACCTTTAGATCAGATATACATGTACTGTCATTGTATAAAGCATGAAGAAAAGGGTTCAATTCAGATGGTACATTTAAGAACCAATTTGTATTCAATCTCAGCTTAGAGATTAAAATATAGTTTAATGTGAATGTCCCTAATACAATTGTAAAAAAAAACAAAAAAAAAAAAAAACAATAATATGATAGTGTAATCATGTATTCTAGATAATGATATCTTCCTTATGATTAATTCAAACCTTGAGCTTTGCGTTATACTGTTAATCACAATATATTTGAGGAAACTTTGAGTTTAGTTATCATGCAAGACCATCTGCTCACGACATTATACATTTGTAAAGCGTAAATTTGAATTAACAATCAAAACATCGTGAAAATTTTGATTTGCTTATATATAGGTATTGCGTATTATAATGTGTTTAGTCACTTGTACCATAGTTAACTAAAATTGATCGTTTTTATATAGTCTGATTAATGTGGCAGGTATTTTGATTGACTTGCATTACTATGGAATCATTATTGTTCCTTGAGGTCAATGTTTATGGATAACCAAAATTCTACCGGTTCGTTGGGACGTAATTTCGTTGGTAACTTGCATATTTTATTTAGATAGATAAATCAACTGCGCTACAGGTATGTGCGTTTCGTTCGTACGATAATTCTTGTGTAAGGATTTCCAATAAAATCTAAGAACGTTGATCCCCCAAGAACAATGATGATTCTACAGTAATTCAAACCCTTTTAAACAAAAATTCAACAAAATTTCTTTTTACAATAATTTCACAAATTTAATCTATAATGTAAAGGAATTTGTAGATTTAGAATAGATACGATATAAAACTCATTTATTTAAGTTCGTTTTTCATTTCCGAGTTGGTTTCTTATAAACAGAGTGATTGGTATTATTTAAAAGATACCAACAATGAATTAACAGACAATATTCTCAATAATCATTAAGGTAATCTCTTCGCCCACGAGAATAGTATTAGAAGAATGAAAAATGTTTTTATCTGCACTTAGTTTTTTTTTCCCAACGCTTTATATTTGATCTCTTTAATTTGGTACATCGAGTATAGGACAAAATTTGCAGCTTTCCACCGGCAAGTGGTGGCGTCTCCATATGAGTGAAAAATTCTCGAGCGGGACGTTAAACAAAATACAACCACTCAACAATCTAATACAGATAATTGTTTGAATTCAAAATGTGGCTTGGTATGTTGTGTTCTTTTGTTAACTTCCCTTATTTATGTAGCAATATACCATTTCTTCCCTGAGTGTGACGTTAGTGAGGTTTGTGTTTTCAGGTTGTTTCAATGCGAAGGGGGCCCGCTCCACGTACGAACAATTTCGAAAACGAGGCTAGCTGTTGACATATAAGTTAATGAAACAACAATATCAAAAATCACGTTTAAAGACATTATTTCTAAATTCTATGGTCTATACAATGACCTTGTCAGCAAAAACAGTTCATGATTAAGTAAAATGTTGACTGACGTTTTTTATTACAAATTGTTAGGCCATTATTTAAACACTGAATTGTAAACGAGTTTTTCTTTGCCAAGACAAGGAGTACACGGTGGGTGTGACTGGTTGGAAAGAGATGCCTATTCCTCCGTAGCACCTGATCCAACTTCTGATGTTTCAGAGGTCCATGTTTGCTCTGCTCCATTTTGTATTGTTTCAACAGACTTTTGAGCTTGATTACTGTTGGTTACCTTCATATTCATTTATAATACGGCCATTTGGATAATGAATATGCCCTGAAAAGTGCTTAGAAACAAACAGATCTAGAACATGAAGATTTGTGGAAAGTGATTTCTAATGTATTAATCTAGTTTTGTGCAAGAAAAATATTCAAAATATTAAGTAAACAGTTGACTTTCTCACAATATCACTTATCATAAAATATCAATTTTCCAATCTACTTAAAAAAATACTGGTAAAAATTGATCATAACTTACAGTCACTGTCAAGCTCTGAAATAACAAGAATATTAAAAATATTTACAAAGGATTTCTTTTTTTAAACTCACTTTGAAATGTGATATGAATAGTTCTTATTAGATAATTCGAGGGAAATTTATATATAATAAATGAATATGCTTTACATGTCAATCTAATTATAAATGAATATAGATCAAATTTAAATGAATTTAATTAAGAAATACCAAAACAGTAGGCAGAATTACAAGCATCCAGAGATTTCAGTTTATAAACTAGGAATGTAGTATAGTTTTTGACATCAATTGAATATTGCTTTTCACAGTTATCGGAAAGTCCCACTTCACAGGCTGTCATAGTTTGTATTACACCGTCTGCTGGTACTGGATCTAAAAAGAATATTAATTGAATCATTAATTTAAAATCAAAAAATTTAAATAATTGAACATTTGACAAATCGAAACTTGATCATAATTTATTAAAGTTCAAACTGAAGGCCACCTTGCACACTTGAGCTAAGAAGAAAAAAAAATCACTACCGTGTTTAACATTAATTCCAAGATTTACTTATTGAAAAAGTTGTGAAAATGTTTATAATTCTAGCTTTGTAAATCATAATAACTGCCCTCAAATTGCATAGGTATTATTATTAAAAATAACATTGGCCCTATTCTTATCAAAGGAATTGATACTTTGAACACATCTGAATTCTTACTACAAAGGTATAGCAGTTTATCAGTATGAAAGTAACCATAGTAAATACTTTATCGCTTTGATCTAATAGGAAGCTCAAGTTAAAAACATTCCTTTGCGATTTAAAGACCCAGCCTTCCTCATGTATGGGTGACGTCTTATGTCTTTGCTTTTATACTGAATTTGACTACGGATAGTTTCGTAGTACCTGGTCAATATATAGGGCTCACGGCGGGTGTGATCGGTCAACAGGGGATGCTTATTCCTCCAAGGCACCTTATCTCACCTCTGGAAATTCCATGGGTCCGTGTTTTATGCCTTTTTCACATATTTGTTTTTTTTTAATGGATTTTTGAGATCGATCACTGTCCGTTATCTTTACCTTTCACATTTCAATGATGCAATTATTGGAAATAATCTGAGACTACTATATTATTAAAAAATTTCTTTTAATAAAAAAAAAAAATATGTATAACTTTTCTTTCAATAAAAAGTTAGCAATTGAAGAGAAGAATGCATAGTGATTTGAAACTCATGTTAAAATGCTTGATTTAAAATAGTAATACCTTTAATACCAATAAATGTAAAGTACATGTATATTTTACTAATAGTATTGTTTGTCAGGGTTGTAAAGAAAGGTGGCGTTAATATAAGAAAGAAATCGGAAAAGTCTTTGGGGCAGATGAACGTATATTTAAAATGAATGTTTTATTCAAATACCTCATTTGAGGTATGTAAGGCTCTACTATTTAAATTAATAAAATATGCAAACTCAAAGGACAGTTTTAGTACAGTCCCTGAAACGTTCTACTTTCCCACTTGAACGGTGAGCGAACGCTGAACGAACGCTGAACGAACGGTGAACGAACGCAGAGCGAACGGTGAGTGAACGATGTGTGAACGCTGAACGCAACTTGGTGAACGATGTGTGAACGGTGAACGGTGAGCGAACGCAGAACGCGAACGGAGCGCAAACGCGAACGCAAAGTGAACGGTGAACGAACGGTGAACGCAAGATGAACGATATATTCGGAATGCCTCTGATCTTTTCCTTGCATTGAAACTATTTTATTGTATTATAATGTCAGGTGCCAAAATTAAAAAAAAAAAAAAAATAAGTAAACCAATAAATGAATGAATAAATAAGTAAATAAAATAAATTCTCCAAAATTGTCCTAAGAAAGACGATTCATGCACATTACGTTTTTAATCACACGATTTTTAACGCATTAAAACATTGCAATTGTTACCGAACGCTGAAGTATAAAAGATATTTTTTTAGTTGGAAAATAAAAATGTTTATTCTTATTTGATAACAAATCAGAGAAAACTTCTGACTTATAGAATGAATTAAAGCGATTGTAACATCCATTCATATATGTATCTCCGTGTCAAGGCGATTTCATGTAAAGTAATAAAAAAAAAATTAATTACAAAGGTCAGTGGACGTTTTGCATTTATACGCTCGTATTTTAAATTTTTAATACAATAATATATTATATGTCATTTCTATTTTTCATGATGATTTATTGAGCAGACTTCTACATGTATCTGTAGATGGCCGTGATTATACTCAGACAAGATAATACAAAGATACATCAATTTTCAGAACTTGATATTTAAGTAATATGCTGTTATAATTTTTATCAAACAGACAAATGAGAGAGAGAGAGAGATATTCCGTTTTAGCCCCCCCCCCCCCCCTTCCTTTCAGGCTTCACTAAATGTTTGCACCTATATCAAACAATAACTCTGATATTTTTTTCTAAATATATTAGACAGTGAAAGTAACTTTTTTTTTATCAACAAATCTTATCCATCTGTTTGACAGTATTACTCGTTTTTATTTTCCTGCTTCAAGTTCACTCGAAGTCCACGTGCTTCTCCTGTCAATCAAAATCATTCGACACTGTGCAGGTGTGAAAGTTTCGTCACATCGAAGACGAAGTGCGAGTATTTCCAACAAGTTATAACATTTATTTTTATCATTTCTAGATTTGATACCAACATTTGAATAATTAGTGAATAAAATATGTTGGGCATTAACACTTGAATTTGAAACATACTCTCTGCCAATTTCAAATACCACCGCCGACACGTGTACATTTTGAACTACTATTGTTTTGTGACTTTTTTAGATGCATGTTTGTTTTGAGACTGAAATTTTTGTTCTAAAAAAGACCTCAACTTTTTTTTAACAGGTTAATTAAAATTTTCTGGAAATACAGTACTGACTACGTAACCGATTTAGGGGAAAAGGGGGGGGGGGGTATTAATCATATCGAATAGCAATCATATAAAGTTACGGTGAAGAAAGATTTTTTCTCTATAACTATAGCCTTTACATACATGTATTATAGTAGCGAATATTCTGTAGTGCATTACATTTTAAATAAATATTTCCTTTAAACACACTATCAATTTAATTCGCTCCAAAGAGGATATCCGCAGTACTATGTATAAGTCTCAGAACTAGTTCTATCATATTTTCTGTAGTAATTGAATAAAAAAACGCGTTAGAAATAAATATTTTCGTAATTTTGCTGCGTAATTATTTGACTTGGATAATTATATCTCCATTAACGATTTGTCGTCTTTAACAAAACATCAAAATGTTGCAGTGCTTGAAGTATTTGCACATTGGCCTTAGTTAAATTTAATATATCAGCATCGTTCTACATAGGTACAGGATGTGCTTATAACAACATTTTTTTTCCAGAGTAATTTAATAAATAACCTAATAGCTAAGTTAGAATAATAAAAATATATATCTTAGATATTTTCCCCCATGAAATAATGATTCTTCAAACACGATTTGTTAGTATTAAATTAAAAAATCTGTAACTCTTTACCTACAAAAAGATAAGTCCTTTCACTTGGGAGTTCCGAATGGCAATGACAACTGAACGATAGGTGAACGCTGAACGCAAGGTGAACGCAAAGTGAACGGAACGAAGAGCGAACGCTGAACGCTTTGTGAACGGTGAACGCGAGCGCACGGTGAACGGTGAACGCAAAACTGTGAACGGAGAGCGAACGGTGAACGCACGCTGAACGAACGGTGAACGCACGCTGAACGAACGGTGAACGAACGGTGAGCGAACGGAAAAATGGGAAAGTAGAACGTTTCAGGGACTGTACCTTGTTTCCAAAATGGATAAAGTGTTCCACAGTACCCGAGGCTTGGTGCTGACGTAGACATCACAGAAGTTTTAGCTCTATACCACCCCTCTGCCAGATATCTATCACACAGAGGAGTGGAATCCATGGCGTATGAGGGCGATCGCTTCGACAAGTCTCCCAGTTCAAACACATTCCCGTCTAAGCAAGGATCTTGACAAACTTTCGAAGTTTTAACATAGAAAAATCGTAAAATGAATAAGTGAAAGCAATGTTGTTTGGAAGAACTGAGATTATTTTAGCAGCTTGCTCTTACTCAATATTATTATTGTAAAGTATTATTAAAAGATACGTATTTGAATTTAAAAAAAATGTATTAAAGCATAATTGTGAAATCAAAATACGTACGCGATGACTGTATAAAGATAATAAAAATCCATAATATTTTTGTGGACATTTTCTCGTTACGGCATATTCAACATGCATGGGCATATATATCAGCAGGACAATATCTCATTCATAACCTGCCTAAACTGAAACATAAAACAAAACATATTACCACTTATACGAGCCTGGTCTCGGATAAGTGAGTTTATTTCAGTAACTCTAGTAATATTTATCTATTCCGGATAAGTTACGTACATTCGGATAAATATAAATTTTCACCCTTAGTTACAAGCTATCATTCCGGATAATTTAGGTCCATTTGTATATAGTCTAATAATAAGTTCTTTTCTACATCCTTTCTCGAAGAATCGATTAAACGGTAAGGTCATGGAAAATTTTTGGAAGTTAAATTGTGGCAATGATTTAAATTTTACCCACCCACCCTCCTCTTGTTTTTAGAACAAATACTGCTGCTTTTGTTATGTCATTGTAGCTGAAGACTGCCTGCTTCGCCCAGCTTCCACAACAGCCTATGTCGCGGTGGTGGATTAGGCGTGTTCGCATATTCCGTAGGGACAGCTTGCTTGGTCCAGAACCTACATCAGCCTATGTGCCGATGGTGAATTTTGTGTGTTTGCGCATTCCGTAAATACAGCCTGATTGGTCCAGCGTCCACATCAGCCCATGTCAAGGTGGTGAATTCTGTGTGTTAACGTATTCCGTGATGACTGCCTGCTGAATACAGCGTCCACTTCAACCGATGTCGCGGTGGTAATTCTATGTGTTTGCGTATTCCGTCGCACCTCAACGCAACTGGAGGAGTGCAACACATATTCTTACGCTCATTCCATTGTTTATCCTATTGCACATGTAAATTGAAATTCAAGATTTGAATTTGTGCACTGGCTTGTAATTGACAAGCAGTTGACTTGATTGATATTGAATTGATTGATTGATTGAACTTGATTGATTGATGATTTATTGATTGAACTTGATTGATAATTGAATTGGTGACGTTCATGCACTTGTGACCTACCCAGTGCATGATCCGCCCGATTTGGGTCGTCACATTTTTTGTATTGATTGTTGATTGTGGGGCAGCCCTGTGGTAGCCCCAGCAAATTGATCACCGCGGCCAGAAGCGCCAAATTAAACAAGCAAAATAATATCTGTTGTTTGTTTGAATAATAGGGAATCTGCAATAATTACAAATATGCTGTTTCTGGTAATCAGAATATTTTTCTTTTAGTTTACAAGAAAATCTGAATTTTAATTTAAATTGATTTTTAGAACAAGATTCATCTAATCGTGTCAGTTCCGTTTTAACTGCTTCCAATATATGTTATGACATTATGCAATACTTTTTTGGTTTGAAACTGGGCCATTGAGTCAACAGAAAGTTGACTTAAAGGTCTGAAACGGTGACTTTATAGTAGAGAACGTTCTTTTGGTCACCTTTCAGTATCTTTTCAGTTATCTAAATGGAATAGTTTCATCCCGTGTTTCTAGTATGTTTCCACGTGGAGGTAGTGATACTGAAGTGTTTCTGAAAGGTTTAACATGTACGGACTGGGACCTTTGTTTGAACACATGAATGACATTTTTTTTTTCTTAGGTTTAAGATCCAAATCGGTTAATACAGATTTTTTAAAATTTTGAAAACGAATTCTATTGAAAGATACTATTATTTCCATAAGTACTGAGAAATTTTTGGCGTCATAAAGGATGTAACAGTTAAAAGACAGTCTAACTCATTTTCTAGATATTGACCTTAATATGTATGGATTGAAAGTTTTGTTTTTAAGCTACAACTTTTGTACTTGAAACTTTTTTTTCTAAGTAATAACTTTTTTCTCTTGGTTTTGATATGTATGGACCGTGACGTATATATATAGTAACTTTTTCGGGGGAGGGGGGGGGGGTACTGCATCTTGCACATTGATATAAATAAGTTGCATGTCTACATAATTATGTAGCAGGTTAATGTTAATAAGTCGCATGTCAACATAGTATTGTTGTATCTTATTGTATGATGTAATATAGTAAGTCTACCGACATTAAAATTACGCTCTAGAGAGATTAGTAACTTGCATGTCAACATGATTATTTTGCATGTTGACATAAATAAGTCGTATGTCTATATAATCATATTGCATGTTAACATAATTTATGATATCTTGCATGTAGAGGGCAGAGATATGCCACCATAATTACCAATATTTAATCTTTTTATTTTATATATATCTGAGTTGATTCGATACGCAAGAGCATGATCTACGTGTGAACAATTTCTTAAACGAGGTAAATTATTGACAAACAAGTTGATGAAACAAGAATATCAGCTGTCTCGTTTAAAGTCATCATTTCGTAAGTTCTATGGTCGATGCAGTGACCTTGTCAGCAAATACAATTTATCACTGAGTCAAATGCTGACTGGTGTTTTTCATACTAGTTGTTGGGCCATTGTTTGCACGCTGAAATATCGACGGATTTTTCCGTTATTTCCCGATCATGACAATGAGCACACGGCGGGTGTGACCGGTCGGCAGGGGATGCTCACTCCTCCATGGCACCTGATCCCACGTCTGATGTTTGGAGGTCCGTGTTTGCTCTGCTCCTATTTTGTATTGTTTAATGGACTTTTGAGCTTGAATGCTGTTCGTTGTCTCCATATATTTCATTTTAAATAAATGTATGCAATATCATGCCTACCGAAATAATAAAATAGATTTCATTTATTTTTAACATTATCTTTTTATTACTTCTTCTCTCAATGATTTTGGTACATAATTCCTTTAAATACACTGAAAATTGAAGCAGATAACATGCTTCATCCTCCCCATAGACACAATGAATTAAATACCCTCCAAGTTTTTTATCTAAGCTCTGAATATTACATTTAAAACGCTGTGCTTTTTTGATTACTGCTAAAATAAAGCATGAAACACTAATCCTAAATTGCATATACTCTAAAGTGCAGGACATTTAAAACGCTTGTTGGTAAACGAAGAAAAGAGAATAATTAGTTTCTATACCCCCTTTTACCATAATTTACCAGGCATATCAGAACATATGGTGAAAACATTTATAAACATTTCGTAAGTATACAAAACATGGTAACTTTTATTTATAAATAACAAAATATAGTATGGTTGAACATGCTATACTTGTGGTACAATGTTTATTTAAAAGAACATTATAATAAGCTCGGTAGCGATTATTAAAATACTCTCATTTCTACTTTTCTTACTATGAAACAATTAACAAGGCACTGTAGGAGTAGTGTTTTCAATCAATTAATACTAACATTTATATCTATAGCCTTGAAATATTTGTCAAAAACTTTCTTTTTGAATCTATAAAGAAAAAAGTCATCTTATTTATGTTTACGTCCTAAAAATGAATATTACAATTATACCTGTAGGTATTGACTGACATAAAATTACCGAACATGTTGTTCCCAGATGGTACATATAGTCTGGAATTGTAGTGCCTTCAGAGACTATGACAAATTTCATTCAGGCTAAGATGTGATAAAATAATTTGATGATTCTAACCCAAAAATGCATATATATTGAAACACTGAAATATTTCGCTCGTTATAATACCCCCCCCCCCCCCCCACACACACACACACATACGCACACACACACGCATAAAATGAAGTGCGGCAAATTAAAAAAGTTTATGTATGAACTTTAAGTAATAACTTTCTTTTTCTTTTTCTTTTATTGTTATCAAACAACCAAAATATAAAGAAACGTAGAGATAAGCTACATTACAATAAATAAATGATTTCAATGAGTTAAAATATTTATTTGATTTAAATAATTAATGATAATAATTAATAGGACTTTCAAACACGGACATTCTTGCACAGGTTTGCATAAACAATTCTATCATATTATTTCTTAGCATGATAATTAACATAAATAATCTTTATTTAAAAAAGACATACCTCTTTTTAGATTTGCTCTTGTGTGTTCATTAAAGTAATAAAAAAGTATTTTTCTACTTATGCTTAAACGCGGCTAGGATAAGGCTGTCCGAAGAATGTCATAGTGTATCAAGTGTACCAGCCGTAGTAACTTCTCTGAACTACCTAGATATGACGTCATAATGGCATATGACGTCAAGTCACTGCAAATTTGAGCAGACATGATGGGGAAAGTGTCATAACTTTTACATTCCTTTCACATCACATGTAGGATTTTTTAACGTTGATGTTTAAAACATGTGTCTAGATTGTTGTTTTAAGGCTGTTATGGTGGTGAATATTAGCAGTATAATGTCGTTATTCCCTTTTCTTGTCTAACATGTACGTATTCAAATAATTACAAAAACGAATGTGAAATGCTCCCCCTTACACGTCCGTAGACAGAGTTAGAATTTACAAATCTTATATATATTAGACTGGCACAAGTGAATAATAAGGATTAATTGAAGATATTCTGTGTGAATCTACTGGAGAAATATGTCCTCTAACTGAATGTTGCTGGGGGATTGTATGTTATTTATCCCATTTTGTATAAATTGCGATGAAGAGTGGAAAATGACCCCTTGTATGTGGGTAAGTTGAATTTCTCGTGAAATATTTTCTTACGAAATAAAATTCAGACTTGCCCCCAGCACTTTATATATACCCAAGAATACGTTTAATTGATTTATGTAACAAGCCGTTCACAAAAATTTTGTTTTTCACTTGTGCTGATGCGATTTTTGTGCAACATTTAAGAAACTTTATAAGTGTCCGTCACGTGA